CTTTTTGTTTTTGTTTGTTTTCATCTATCTGTCTCTGTCTGTCTCCTTCTGTCTCTGTCTGTCTCCTTCTGTCTCTGTCTCTGTTTGTCTCTGTCTGTTTGCATGCCTATTCCTCTATCTGCCTGTCTCTGTATCTGTTTCTCCTCTGCTGTCTTTACTCTCTCTATTTGCTTCTCTCACATCTCCTAAACACCCTCTGCCTACACCAGCAGCAACGCCAGAAGCAGCAGCAGCAGCAGCAGCAGAAGCAGCAGCAGCAGCAGCAGCAGCAGCAGCAACAGCAGCAACAGCGAAATTTTTTCTGACCTTCTACTGTTTATTTTGTTTTAGTTTGTCAATGAGGGTTTACTTCCCTCTATGTGAAAACTAGGAGACAGGAGGAGACCCATCACCACCAGCAACAAGCTGTCTCCCCTTTCTGTCTCTCTCTGTCTCTATCTGTTTTCTCTTTTGCATTTGCTGCTGCTCCTCCTCTACGGCCCCCTGCTGCAGCAACTTGCTCAAAGCTCTCCTGCCCCTTTCTTTCTTCTTTTCTTTCTTTCTTTCTTTCTTTCTGTCTCCTTATGGGAGACAGTTAAAGCAACCAAGAGACAGGAGAAGAGGGAAGGAGGAGCCAAGGGGTGTGTATAAACGTGTGATGATGGTGTGAGCTGGTGGTGGGGTTGTTGTTATTGAAGCTGCTGCTGCAGTCGCCTCTCTGTCCCTCTATCTCCTGGCGGTCTTGTGCAGCAACGGACACCGTCTCCGCTGCTGCTCCTGCTGCAGCTGCTGCTGCCGCTCCTGCTGCAGCTGCAGCTGCAGCTGCTGTTCCTGCTGCAGCTGTTGCAACTGTTGCTGCTGCGGCCTCAGCAGCAGCAACAGCAGCTGCTGCTGCTGCTGCTGCTGCACCTGCTGCTGTTGTTGCTGCTCCCGCTTCTGGTTCTGCTGCTCCCGCTGCTGTTTTCTTTGTTGCANTTACTGCATGATATACACCCCATTAGAGGTGGCTCTTTGTCTGATTTTTTTTCAATATATTGCCGACGGAGTGAGTGATGAACTTAACGACGAGAGAATCTTCGAGTTTAGTTGGGTTTAAGCCTCCATATTCCTTCGGCAGAAACTCTTCTCCTATCTGCTGCTGCAGCACCGGCTGCCACTGACTGCGTTTACTGAATGTGTGTAGCTGTACGCCTGTTCTGAGTAGTTTATTGAGCATTGAAATAAGAGGATTCAAGAAAGAAGGTGAATTTATAAGAAATACCTGGCCTGGTCTCTCCCCTATATACTGAACTGTACTATTTAAACCCGCTATCAATGCATTCAATACAGTCTTCACACTCCCCCCCACTACTTTTCTGAGAGAGAAACCTGCAGCATCTACAACTACTGTTAAGGAACTTGATGCTCTTCTATCCACATTTGCCCAAAAAAATAATGCAAAATATAAAATGTATGAACGTAAAGTTTCCTCACTATAACTCTCCACTACGTCCCATACAATGCGGCTGCTCTGAACACACACACAGAAACAACACATATCAAGATGAATTANTCCACTACGTCCCATACAATGCGGCTGCTCTGAACACACACACAGAAACAACACATATCAAGATGAATTATATTTAATTTTTTTGAATTTTATTTTATTTAATTTAATTTTATTTAATTTAATTTAATTTAATTTAATTAAAATTTATTCATTTGAGTTGGATTCGATCATATTGAATTGAACTGGATTCAATTCAACAATATTGAATTGAATTTCAACAAATTAAACCAAAGTAAATAAACTTGAATAAATTTTATTGAATTTTATTAAATTTTATTGAATTTTATTGAATTTTATTGAATTTTATTGAAAAAAAATAAAATTCAATTCAATAGATGAATTTTATTGAATTTTATTGAATGAAATTTCACTGAATTTCATTGAATTGAACTTCATTGAATTAAAATTTATTGAATTAAAATAAAATATATTTTTATTATGTTTTATTGAATTGAATGAAATAAATTAAATTGAATTAAATTTTATTGAATTTTATTGAACTTTATTGAAACAAATTTTCTTAACTGAAACTGAATTGAATTTTATTGAATTTTATTGAATTTTTTTTTATTGAATTAAATTTTATTGAAAAAAATTAATTTGAATTGAATTTCACTGAATTTTATTGAATTAAATTTTATTGAATTTATTGAATTGAATGTTTTACGCCAAATTAAATTTTACTGAAATAAATTTTATTGAATTGAATTGAGTTGAATGTATCGAGCTGAAATCAGTGAAACTGAATCAAAAGAAATATAATCAAAATAAAAAAAGTCATACAATACGGAACATCAAATAAAATAAAATGAAATAAAAGGG